TCCCGACGATGTAGAAGTGTTTTATTACGACAATAAAACTCGTAAGTAAGAATTTGAAGACATTACATTATTTGGCCGTGAGTGTTCTTCGGGATAATTTAAAAGTCAATATTGAATGATATCTCACAGGTCCAATTTCAATTGGAATATAATAACAGAGTGCATGAAATGGGGCTTAATTTTTAGTCGTCCTCTTGTACTGGCATTCCTCATGTAATTTTCCCTTTTTTTAAGGAGGATTAAAGAATTCTGCGATCCTTTCTCATCATGGAAATGATGCATATATCAAGACTCTGACAGGCTTCTTAGACGCTGCATTACAGCAGTCGACTTCAGACCAATGGGTGAGATGTTGGCACGCTGCCGAAGATGGATGGGATACTCGATTCACATTCCATCCTCAGTGTGACGGAAAGAAAGCCACGGTGACGATAGTCCGCGTTGGTCAGTACGTGTTTGGTGGATTCACCGATAAATCCTGGCACATTGGTAAGAATGAGGTCTGTGTTACATTGCAAAATAGCTATCAATAACACTACATGTACTTGTCAATAGCTGGAATATATACCAAGTCATCAAGATCCTTCCTATTTTCACTGCACAACATAAATGGATATCAACCCATCCAGTTGAACCTAACAAAACCAGACAGTCAGAAACATGCTATTTATGGAGGTGTATTATTTGGACCAACATTTGGGTTGGCACATGATCTGTTTATAGCTAATCTTGCCAAAGATAATGTAGCTTCATATACGAAAGTAAATAGCTACCAACCACCGCCTGGTTGCAGTCTTGGTGTTTTTTGTACTTATTTTGCTGGCAAATCTCCATTTACTCCTGACGATGTGGAAGTGTTTTATTACGACATTGAATCTCGTAAGTCAGAATTTGAAAACACTGCGTTATTTGCACGTGCGTAATTTACTCATTTGTATGGCCTTTCTTTATTAGTTGTCCACAACGAGTACTGAGCCTGTTGTACCACATCGCATTCAGTTTTCTTCATATATGTAGTTAATGCCCACCTCTCCTTCATTTAATGGATATCAACCAATCCAGTTGAATAGATGAGGTGACGGTTTTGTCCGCCATTTTGGACCGGTAGGCATAGTGTCGCAAAAWAACAAGGAATGACCGGGAAATCGATGTCAAATAATTCTCGCTGAATTCAAATTCAGAAAGAATTATCATTTGCAAACGTTAGATACTGCAAAAAGGAGTTAACTGGCCAAATTTGAAAGGCGTACTTGATCTAGAGAGCGAGTAAACTCATTTTTAGTTCTCCATACATTTCTTTGTAATTTCAATACATTTCGTTATAATTTCCGGGGTCATCAGTGCGTGACGCGCGTGAAAAATACAAAGAAATGTATTGAGAACTAAAAATAAATTTTCTCACTCCCTAGACGAAGCACATCCTTCAAATTTGGCCAGTATGCTCCTTTTTGTAGTATCTAACGTTTGCAATTGATAATTCTTTCTGAATYTGAATTCAGCGAGAATTATTTGACATCGATTTCCCGGTCATTCCTTGTTATTTTGCGACACTATGCCTACCGGAACAAAATGGCGGACAAAACCGTCACCTCATCTATTGGTCTAACAACACAAGACCACCAGAACATGCTATTCATTGCCGTGTAATCAAGGAACGGCAATTGGGCTTGGACTGCATAATCTGCATATTGCTTATATTGCCATAGATAATACACTTTAAAGTCCATATTCGAAATTAATTTGCTATCAGCCTAGGCCTAGTTTTGATGTATTTTGTACATATTTTACTGCCCAACATACAGTAAGKTAACCACACTATGACATCGAATTTTTTACTACGATGTAGAGAATGTACATAGTAAAAAAAGACTTAATTCACCTTTAATACTTTATTGAGCCAATTCACCTGACTCAAGCTACAAAGCACAGTATTCTATAATGGCCGCCATGTTGAAAGCGACAACACAGGTAATCCGCATGCTTAAAAAGTAGCTTTGTAGGAATATTTTCGTACGGACAAAAAATAATTACCAATTTCGTCACATAAATACGTAAGATACTGCAGCTATAGCTAGTGCAAGTCACTGAGCTCTTGATGGGCGATCATTGCATAGACATCTAGCCCGTTCACATTTGGCAGCGCTCTCGATTTACGTCTCCTAATGGTGATGACTTCTTTTATGCTCAGGAAGTTTCAGTAACCAAGTAAGATACATAATTTGACAGATCACCCAAGCTTGAGTTGATAGTTAAGTCGGTGAGCCATGAGACTTCAAATATTTAACAAATCTATTAGAGAAAAAAAGCCTAAATCTAAAATTACTGTAAACCACTTTTCCAATAAAAAGCTGTGAGTGACACCACATTAATATCACTTAAAGGAAATAAAAGCATTATTCTGCCGATGTATTTGAGAATTTTTTCATATAAAGAAATTTCATTGACGCATGGATAGTTATTCAAGTYTCTCACCATTTCATCAGAAATAAAATCCTTTTATATTTTCGTCATATCCCGCATAAGCTTCATAGAAATTCAAGCTCTCTTTCGATGGTAGGTAAGTTATCATAATGGCTCATGATCTGATTTTTAGAAGTGATTTACTGGTTTTGTCCCTGTGTCTAACTCGAGAACTAGGCGTAACCTATTTAAACAGCGACAAATCACCATTAAGCTCTCAATTTCTTCGACAATTATGTAATGTTTACATCATATCGCTCTACAACGGACGATCAAGCAGGTCTGAATTGCAAAAAAAACTACGAACATGAAACATATTTCTTCATTCTGGGCATCGCTATTCGTTGTTTTACTCTGTCATGCAAGTACGTTAGCCGGTAAAAAAGGTAAGCTAGATCTATCTTTTATCTTTTAATAAATTTTTCTGCAATTTGTTGACACCACACAAAGAGGTCAATTAGATCAAAGTCAAAACAAACATCCAAAATGTTGTGAAAACATTATAAAACTGAAATTAAGATGTCTAGTATAAACTCTAAATTAAAACTCCTTTAGCACATTGTTTTTTTCTATTTCAACGTAGTTGGTTTTCAGATACAGGAATATTTCAACCATAACTTTTTCTTTCACTTTTCTTGCAAAAGCACCTGCATTGTAAATTAGCTCCCTTTCCGGTCTGTTGTCAACTACAAGGTGCACYGATCTTCCCACCCTTTCACACATTGCTAAATAAAACYTGTGTTTATGTTGATATTTAGCTATCTATTGTGACAGATTTCCATAGCATTTCTATTCTTAAAGTTTGATTCTATAATTACATGGATATTTGAAATCTTATYTTTCTTTCTCTCATGTCACATGTCAATGCACTCAGGAAGACATCCATTCAACAAACATGTATCGAAAAGGCAACAGGTCGTTCAACCAGTAGCTGGTGGTGGCCTTCTTCTACAAGCAAGTCCTTTAACGGCAGCAACAAGASAAAATGATAGTCCAACTGACAGTAAATATTTGTTTTTATCTAACAATTGGATCGAATGGCATGCTTGAAATTACTAGTTACAATTTCCCATGCAATAGCTAAAGGCACTGAAAGGTCAAAGTATAAATCCTTCATGGAGTGGTTTTCCTGGTATTATACTTTGGCTCATTTGTCTATAAATTTCCACACAAGAATACAGTGATTGAGATTTGATTTGTTGCACTCTTTTGGTAAACGTTTTTTATTCGCAGTCCTATGAAAACCACTCGATAATTTTTATTATAATTTAGTAKATAAAACCAAACTGATTTGTTGATATAAGAGCTTTCATTTTTTAGTGGATGTAGTTATATGTCAGTATTATATCGAGCAATTTATAATCAAGATATAGTAATTAACATTTATTAGGAATATCGAAATGKGCGCTAGATGTTTGCAATGTACTTACTGTCAATCTACTATTAATGCATTGACTGATCTCTTGTTCTTTAGAAAATGAATGCGATGAAGCAATGGACCTTCTATTGGTCTTTGACGCGTCACATTCGATTACTCCAATTGGTTTTGCGCTTATGAAACACAGAGCTCTTGACTTGGTAAACCAACTTCGAATCTCTCCTGATGGAACCCATGTCGCCGTGCTWAAATACAGTACTACCATTTCCACKTTCTTCATGTTTGAAGAGAACGCTGTGAAGGATAAAACGCGAAGACAAATTAATGCTTTGACGTTTGATAACGGCTGGTCGCGTCTTGATCTGGCATTGCAGGGTGTGGTTGATCACGTTTTCCATCCAGCAGCAGGAGCAAGAGAGAATGTCCCTAAAGTAGTGGTGGTGTTTACTGACGGAAAAGTAGTTGGTATGTAGAATTTAAGTGAAAATCAAGTGATTGAGTAAAATTCAYATTTGATTTGCAAATGKCCCGAATTCTCAAGGAAACCGGTTGCGGGAAATTGGAAGGGGTTACTCATCAAAAAAGCTCAGAAGAGACGAATGATGTTATTATAAAGTCATCTGAGCGAATTTGTATTTTAGGTCCAAGAGAACCAGATCGAATTGTGGACTGGAGAAAACTATTGGCCCATCCAGTAGACCTACTGCGCAATCAGAATGTAATTTTATTTGCTGTTTCGCTGGAAGAAAACCCTGATCGCAACGACTTTGTCAATCTAGACCTCATTGCAGGAGACAGAGCTCGAGTATTCACCCTCGCTAAATTGAATAGTTTGGTAGAAAGCCTTAAGCGCACAGCCAAACCAGTTTGTCCGGGTAAGATTGTTATCACTTATGATCTGTTTATTCACGAAACCAATATTACCTCCTAACAGATTATTTTGGAATCAAATATACAATATATARATTTGAAATAACTTAAAGCATTACAAGAAAATAACTTCTTAATTCACTAAATTGCCACTACTTGTTTCTGTATACAGCTTCATCATCGCCTTCCTCATCCATGCCACAACCTACACCCTCCCTTACAATATCTCCTACATTGTCGGCGAATGAAACAAGCTCAACACAAGCAGCATCTTCTTCAGCATCTGTCCCCWCTTCGGGAATCTGCCCTTCAATGACATCAACATGCAAACCAACGTCRACATGTTATCCTGTTGGTGTAACACCATGTGTTCATGTATACCTCGTCAAAGTTTGCAATACTTTCATTAATACACAATGTAAAGCATCACCAACCTCACCACCAACACCAACTACACGTGTAATACCGACAAGTACACCTCCTGCAACTGCTACTCCACCGAGACCAGTTTGTGCACCTGGAATGCTTTGTCCACCAGTACAGGAACCCATTCAAAATGCCTCTCCACCTCTTGTTAAAGAGCCGTGCCCATTTCCACCAGGGCCTGTCCAAAATGTGTCACCACCTCGTGGTAAAGAGCCATGTGTATCTCCTCCAGTTGTTGAACCACCACCACCAATGCCGAACGTTACATCACCATGTCCGCYCGAACAGTGCCCTCCTTCTGCAGCACAAGGCCAAGGACAAGTACCAACACAAGGGCAAACTCAAGCTCTCCCACCGCAGAGCCAAGCACCACTACAAGCACAAGGTCAGCCCCAAGCACCAGTACAAGCACCAGCGCAGGCACCAGCACCAATGCAAGCACCATCACCAGTACAAGCACCAATGCAAGCACCATCACCAGTACAAGCACCAGTACAAGCACCATCACCAGTACAAGAACCATCACCAGTACAAGCACCAATGCAAGCACCAGCACCAGCACCAACCCAGGCCCAGTCTCCATCACCTGCACAAGGTCCAACTTCACCTTGCCYGGATACAAACGTCTCGCCTCCAGATGCCTGCTTACCAAGTGCTCCAACACCAGCACAATATCCGCCACCAGCTTCACCGAACGAGTATCCAACACCAGCCCAAGTTCCATATGAAGTACCATCACCAGCCCAAGTTCCAACGCCTTCACCTTACCCAGTMCCCGCACCTCTCCCAGTTCCGGAACCARCACAAGCACCCCCACCCGAACCAGTACCAGCACCAGTACAAGCTCCAGAGCCTTCCCAAGCACCACCGCCTGTGCAACAGTGATACTTCCAAGCCTAAACATAAACTTATCTTATGGGCAATCCTAATGGTTATCTATAGTTATAARTCATCTTTATTTCACAAAGATAAATAGTGCGATGAAATAAATACTTTGTAGCAACATACAAGATTCAGAAAATAAACCAGTTATAGGATGGTAGTTTATTTGATCATTGATTTTCTTAAATTAAAGTATAGCATAAATTAAATGTGTAGTAACCGTAGCCTGATAATGAACGATATACATTTTATATTCAGCAGCTTTTAAATCTTTTCAAAAATAAACTATTTGCAGTTATATAAGTTGTCACACATTCTATCACGGTAAATACCGGCGGGAAAACGCTTTATGTCCAAGATATTCTCAGTCAAGCATAGAATGCCAATGAGGACTATTCTAGAGGCTCTACCCTACTAATTTTATTTGGGTAATTCTTCCTAATACAAGTTAATAGGCATATATCAATCGTCAAAACCACATTGACCTCATCAAATGTACAGCTCAATCTATTAAAGTAAACCCTACTGCATTGCCTGTACAATTCATTAGTGTTTTCACTCAAACTTTTTAAGCATCTTGAAAAGACATTAAAAGACTCGAACCTTGCTGTAATTCATGTGCAAGTGAAGGCTATCACTCAATGTCGAAAACAAATAACGTCAAAAATTCTCAAAATATTTCGCTCGAAATGACATTAATTAACTGTTGGTCCTGAAGTCGTCTTCCAAGAGTGTGGTAAATTCAAATTATCAAAATATGTTATTGAGCATTGTAGCCCATGGGCTCATGATTGAAAACATGTTCACCTATATTTTCCATCTACATGACATTCTTTATTACCTAAATGTAAACATAGCGACCGCATTGAAATGATCAAGTGTCGTCAAGGTTTTTTAATTTTGAATTCACTGTGCACTTCTTTGAATATCAACTCTGAACCATTACGCATCCCAAGCAATTTCGATTGCCGGCATGCCCCATTACTTAGGGGCTGTTCCTGTATTTTCTTCATGTAGGTATGCATGTCACTAATGAGGGGGTGCAGCTGCAGATTACAACTAAATCTCTTCAGCTGTATAAAATAAATTGCAGTTACGTTCAGTGTGTTTTCAGAGTATTCCAGAAGAAATGCAAGTTTTCAAATCAAATCAGAAGAGCTCTTTCTATAATAATATAAAAAAAATTCACATGTGATCTAATTTTTACAGATTTGGAAAAACATTGCTTAAAYCATAATTATTACTATCGAAACGAGYCGAAAAAAGTTCATCTCAGTTAATTCGTTACTGGTTCATTGAGTCCAGTGTATAGTAATRATTAATACTTAAGAAGCGCGCATTTCAAATACAGGGCKACYTCTAGTTTGACTAACCCTTTATATTGTACAAACATGGGACAGTTCTATTTTASTAATTTGTCATTTGAGAAAGGTAAGAGGATACTATCCAGAAATTATTCAATGATATCACTGCTTAATGGGTTGYTTAGTCGGGTTAACAAGATGGGCGTTTTTTTGGCTACGGTCATGATAATGTCACCAGGTAGTCCTTCAAAATACCAACCATTACGTGATTGCTTCAGTGATTGCTTCGCTTTTCTTTGCTGTCCAAGCGATATATCTTCAAGATGAAGACCATTTTGAAGGATTATATATTTGGGGTTTTGGTTATTYTACTATATTCAGCGTGTACCGACTGCACCACAACAAGTAAGAAATTTRTGATTGTTAGATWTTTTGTCTTGATGTGACAAACTCYCGCTTRTATTCACACAAAAAATTGTCATTGTGTTTATAAACAACGTCGTGAGTAAATTATATGTATTTGTTCATACAAGTCAATTAACATTTGTGTCTGGAAAATGAACTTTTGCATAAACATACACTGGGAATGGATTRATATAGGCATTTGACTGAATCTAACATGAAATAGTGTGATAACCAGTTATGGATGGTCAATTATTTTTGTCTGGTGTATCTTTTTATTTAAAAAAAACTTACATCGTTGACACGATACCAATAAAAACTGAATTTTGAAAAAAAAGATCAATTAGGGAATATTATGATGAAGTCACGTGTCGGTCTCTTGATATCTCTTGATTTTGTGCGCAAGTGTTTTGATTATTCTTTATTTGTGCGAACATTATAACCTAATTATATCTCGAAATATTAATTATTTTACAGAAAAATGGGAATATAACTGCTTTGTGGGTTTTGGTCGACGTTTATTTAGTGTTGTTTTCTGTAGTGATTGTTAATCTCTGTTGATATTCAYTTCATGAATCAACGTTTTGCGTTTGAAAGACGATGATTCATCGATGATTCGTTTTATTCAAAACTCAAAATTTGTGAATAAAATCCTATGGACGTCACGTTAATAAAATCTCAAATTATATTATTTTTCCTACTAGATTTCGATACCTACGAAATAGACGAGGAGCCTCTAAGCTTTGCCCAGGACCAAAACCAGCTCGATTCAGTGACAACATACCAGCTTGGTAAGCAATTTTCCAATTTTTATAATCAAGTTAATATGCATATGCACAGACTGTCCAAACGTTCGCAGAATGCTCCTTGTTTAGCCCAATGGGGCTGATTCAGTGAGTATCTTATCTTAATTAGAGTTTCTTATCTCAATTCAGACTCGGCTCAACACAAAGTACTGGACTTGGCTTTAGTGTTTGACGCGTCGTACACCATTACTACATCAGGATGGTATAAAATTAAGAAAGCGGCAAAGCAATTGGTGGATTCACTCGATATTGCACCGCAGGGTACCCACGTATCACTGATGAAATACAGCACGGATGTAGAGACTTTCCGGATCTTTGAGCAAGATGATGATAAAGATAAAATAAAGAAGCAGATTGAAGACTTGACATACGATGGTGAATGGTCTCGAATGGACCTCGCAGCAAAGGCAGTTGACGAGCACGTGTTTGCTTCTGATAGCGGAGCAAGATTGGGTGATGTGCCCAAAGCAGTTGTCTTCTTCACAGATGGAAGAACTGAYGGTATGGCCAAATCTATTTTATGCGAATATGAATACGTCAAATCATAGTTAGTACCTGGTACTAACTGTGGCTAAATATAATGGCACGATGATATTTGCTATTTTCGCACTTGACATATGATTTATTCAAACGACAGATCAAAGAAAGCACTATCAATGACAAGAAAATGATTTTAGTTTATTCTAAGTGTAAGAAGTAATTGTGATGATATAATTGCSTGCAGTTGATCCCTTGTTAATGTTAAAGACTGTATTAAATTGAAGGAAACCTTTAAAACCGTTTCTTTYAGGTCAGACACAACCTGACGAAGAGGTAGACTGGCATCAGAGGGTCTTGAGAGCACTTAAACCACTTCATGATAAAAATGTGATCGTGTATGCTGTTGCTGTGGGTGGTCTTGCTGACCGATCACTGCTTGCTGAAATAACTGGATCCCCACCTCCAAATGCMACTTTATCGGATCAAGCCAGCGAGTCCAAAGTGTTTGAACTGAGTGGCATCGACGATTTAGTCAAAAGCCTCGATAAACTGAGTGTTTCTGTCCCAAAGGGTAAGAGATGAATATTTCATAAGCATCTTACTAATAGTAACAGTAAATAACAAATATTTGGAGCCTAAGTCTGCTTTATTTGTCAATTATAATGTATTTATTATGATCACTTGTTTGTAGTTGTAATCACATCGACAGTTGTCATGACGACGGTAGAAACTTCCACTCCAGTCACAAAAGTAACTGCTACAGTAAMAACAACCAAAGAAGTACCCCCCTCTTCGCCCGCCGCTCCGGCATCAAGTCAAGCCTTGTCACCATCAACAGGTGAAACACCTTCTGTAGAACCTACCTTATCTTCAGGGGCTGCCTCTTCTGTACAAGCTTCCTCTTCCGAAGGGGCCTCCTCCATTTCCGGATCTAGCTCTGCTGGTGCTTCTATATCTCCATCTGCAACCATATCTCCTGCAGCGTCCTCTTCTGCAGTGGCCCCCTCTTCTGGAGGAGCTTCATCTCCTCCCGCGTCTTCCTCTGCGGGCGTTTCTGAGAGCGCTTCAGCGGGTGCTTCTTCAAGCGCTTCAGCGGGTGCCTCTTCGGGGGCTTCTTCGGGCGCTTCAGCGGGTGCTTCTTCAAGCGCTTCTGCTGGTGCCTCTGCTAGCTCTTCTGCTGGTGCATCTTCGGGCGCTTCTGCTGGTGCATCTTCAAGCGCTTCTGCGGGTGCCTCTGCTAGCTCTTCTGCTGGTGCTTCTTCGGGCGCTTCTGCTGGTGCATTTTCAAGTGCTTCTGCGGGTGCTTCTTCAGGCATTTCTTCCTCACCAGCAGGGRCCTCACCTGCTACCTCATCACCAGTGCCTTCGTCTTCTGCAGGAGCTGCTACACCTTCTGTGAGTCCTTCTCCACAAGCTAGTCCTTCAGGTAGTCTTTCTGCCAGTGCAACGCCTGGCATCGCCGCAACAACTGTAGCTGAAACAATTACTATAACTACCACTATCCAAGTAACCCAAAGCGTCCTGCACGTAGGAAAAGGAAGTAAGTGGAATTTATAAACTATTGTTTGAGAATGTCAATTAGAATCCTCCTTGTATTATTGTTTGTCTTATTTCATTACTTGTGTCTTTTACAGCACCAATCCTTATAACAGCAGAAAAGAAAAGGTAAGAGCATTTCATTTCATGGAATAAATTCCAAGTGATGTTTGCAAAAGAAATAGATTTGTAAGTAGATAGGAAAGCATATAGCAGGGAAAGAAGGTATGTACGAAAATAAGATTATTGCATAGATTCAGATAGTTCTTGCTTCTGTTAAGCATTTTTGTTCATTGCCAGTGTTTGACCATAACATTACTTTTCTCAGACTTAAGCGCTCAATACCTTCCAAGTGGTACCACAGAATCATGCCAAGATTTTTTAAACGCTGGTTACAAGTAGAAGACTAAATCGATCATTGTAAGACATCATAGAAATAGCTATAAACACCTTTTAATGAGGGATAAATATCTAGTGACATTTGTAATAAAACCATATACGTAGRACTATTTAAAACTAGTACACCATATTGATATCTAAGCCACCTGTATGTAATCATTASAAAATACTAATAAAACCCAGATGTTTGCATCATTGTTGATTAAGTTTTCCGATTTTCTGAATCACGAAGCGATTCAGACAGATCGATAGAAGAATGAAATATCTAAAACACAAACTGAAACTATTGTAAGAACGAAGACTTTATGGGTCCAATGTCAAATAAATCACTAAATAAACCTAACATGTTATATGTGTACTTTGACAGCAAGAAAAACTAAACTATWGGARTTCCCGYACAAATGAATGACTRAATGTGAATTRTTTCAAATTGATCAATAATGTGTGTGGCCAATCAAATACCAGATGCACTCTCATTGGCTKCTCTATTTCAAGAATTTTATCTCAATGTCAGGAGGACAGGGTATCAAATATACATATTGCGAAATGTTTTTGGAACTAATCTGATACGTTTTACTATTTGATTATTGTAATAAGACACTGTCTTCTCTTCCTAATCTGTTCAAATATTTTAAAGCTCTTCTTATACATTTTTATAGAACAATTGGAATAATTTTCAAATGTAAACATTAAGCACACTACATGTATCAATAATAATATTTACATTATTTTTTTAAAATAATTCTAGTATTTATTGTTATTTCAAAGTTTCAATTAAAAATGAAATCTGTCTGTGTAAATAAACGATGATATCATTGAGTGMGACCGTGCTTATCAAGATGGGCGTGGCTGTTATCATGATCCACGGCGTTTACCCAACAGCAACAAGTACTGTCGATTACTTTTGCGACAACGTCGAATGGCTTTTAACATGGGTAAAGGGAAACTACATTGTAGTTTTATTTTTGTCATTATTTGCAGTTTTCTCCATCGGACCACAACCASACACGGTAAGAGAAGATTTTTAACGCTTAAATAAGGTCAGAAAATAAGCAGTTTTCCGCAAAGATAAACATCACMTTGACTGCATGTTTGTTGCTGTTGCTCTGTCTCAGCTATCGCTTATGCGTTGATATCAAAATCCATTGATAAGTTTGAGAGGACGATTCATTTGTACAACGAAATTTCAAAAAGAAAACTTGAATATTTGAAACGTCGAAATTGTTAACCTTTATAATCATAGGAATTTAGCAAGTGCTCAAGCATAATATTTTAGACGATTACATAAATTCATACTATATTATTTTGATTTTAAACTCGGTAATATGTGTTAGCCAATTTATTTATGGAAAAGCTATTAGAGCTTTGAAGGTATTTCATTGTCTTGTGCTAAGTCTACCATGCGCAGTGATTCTATTTGCTATGGTTCATGATCCATAACTACATAGTGAAGTTGATTGTTATAGGCACTTTTTTCTCTTTTTCACAAGGTCATGGAAGTGATCGTGATGCAAAATACCAGGAACTRCGAGAAGCCTACCAAACAGCCAGGTCACACCCCAGAGATGAAATAGCCGTGCCGCTGAATGAYGTCACAAARACAGTCACTGAGACYGTATACGTAACAACCACCAAACCATCATTAGCTGGCGTGACATGCACGAAGGTTGTCACAGATATAGTCACATATACAACAATCGCACCAACTGTCACGGAGACCGCAACATTGCTTGTCACGGCTGTAGTAACGGTAACACCATTCCTGTCAAGCATTCCAGGACAGGCTGGTTCCAGCACGCCAGCTCCGAGTCAGACTGCCACAGAAGCGCCCGTGACTCCAAGTCTAGTGACTCCTACAGCTAGTCCAGCTGCTCCTACAGTTAGTCCAGCTGCTCCCACAGATAGTCCAGCTGCTCCCACAGATAGTTCTCAGGCTGTCCAGCCCACTAATACTGTGGATACAACACAACCACCAGGCGTTACTGATACGGTCACGCAACAACCGGCTAGTGGTACAGATGTCGCAGCTGTATGTACAGCACAAGCTGTTGGCGTCACAGAAACTACCACAGTTACCGTGACAGCAACAGTTCCACAGACTGTTACGGTGACAGCTAGTAAGTGGTCATTTTTTAACATCATGTAATTCCTGGCAATGATTTTTCTTGACATCTTATGCGTTTCCGTTTCAGCACCAGACACTCCAAAGATGTATGTTGGGAGATAGTTCAAATACTTTTTTTCCGAATACTCAAAAGCCGCTGCCAGTCACTAAAAGTCATAAATCAATGAGCATGCGTAAAARTGCCAACTATGTCGCAGACAAAATGATGCAATAAAAACAAATTTCTRTTGTGCCAGACCATGTGGGATTACCTAAGCACATCACTGAGCATGCGCAAGTTTTGGAGCGAATCATTTATTGTGAGGCGAGCGATTTATTGTACATGAAAGAATCTCGTTCTCTTTCCAAAGACCTATTTCTCATAAACATTTGTATAAATAAAAATCGTTTTGATATGCTTCTGCAAAGCAGTGGAAATGTCCGTCAGTAAAATGGAGGTTTTCCTCTGAGGACTTGTCGTCTAAAACATCTTTTCAATCTAAACGTTCCGTGTCACTAAATCAATTGTTCACRGCCCATGTCACATGGACATGGAGCTTTTAGTCGTTCTTCAAGCATGAGACATTAAAAAAATGTTCCGGTAACTCAGTGAGGTTGGGGCGTTTCAAAAACCCGTCAGTCCAGTAATACTATATATCGATATCGTGATGCTAACTTTAACCCAACCATAGTATTGGATATGATTTTCCTTTCGTTGATTGGATTATGTTTATTGCATGCTACATCATCAACMATAGATTTTGGTAAGTAATATAAGACTTTAGTAAATCTATTAAAGCATTTTTTCTTATCTTTGATATTCTTACAGTGTATCTGTGTCAATGCATATTCTCATTAAAAACGTTGAAGGAAAGTMAAAAATATAAATTCAGTTTATTCATTTTTCCTCCTTTGATACTTGTAAATATCATSAGTCTTTTAATCATCAATGTATTTTGGCGAACCTCTTCAGTTTTGCGACACCTTCGCTAAAAGTATTTGCAAATTATACAGCAATCTCTTGTCTATAAACTCAATCACAAATATCTGATGAATAATCATCACTTAACACAAACAATAACTAACCACCATATGTATATCATTTCTACAGAATCAAAAATATATATATTCATTACTTCTCAATTTTACCTTATAACTCTAGGCTGTTTTATGCTACAAAGTGAAGCTAAATATTTACGTTCTTAGCGATGCAAATTTCATAGACTGTTTGTTTTACCAAATATAGCTACAAAATAGGTTAAAGCGTTATTGATATCAGTATCAATGTTGTAGTTTAACTTTACCAATTAAACATGCAATAGGAAACAACAATAACCTTACAGGTGGTGGCTACGCGCTGGGGCATTTCAGCTTGGAAAAAGGCGGGAGTAACTATGGTTACCAAGATAATATTCAGAGAGTCGATCCAACTCCCACGTCAATATTTTCAGGTAAGATAAATTGCGCGGCATTCCATGTTGATATTTATGCAATGTTTAATTGGTTGATTGATGGAACAATGGATTTAAGAAGTGAATGATTAATTAATCGAACATCATTTCAATTTATCCACTTTTTTTATCGTTAGACACTGGCTGTCATTTCGAAATGGACTTGGTCTTAGTTCTTGATTGTTCACACAGTATCACTATAGATGGATGGCAGCAAATAAAASTAGTGGCTAAAACAGTCATAAAYACAATTGACGTCACACCACAGGGAACCCACGTKTCTCTTATCGCATACAGTTCTGATGTAGAGAATTTCTACATGTTTGATAATGACACAAATAAGGAAACCTTATCGAAGGTGATCGATGGCTTGTCTTTCTATGGAGGATGGTCTCGTCTTGATATCGCTCTTAATGCTGTTCTTCGTTATGTGTTTAATCCCATAAGTGGGTCGAGGAAAAATGTACCAAAAGTCGTTATCGTGTTTAGTGATGGMAATAYTGATGGTAAGGGCCTTTTWTATAGAAAATTATTSTATYTGAGCATGCTGAGTAGCATATACAGTGTGATAATTATTTTCATGAACACTTTCTCAGAGCAAACAATTGTACTGCTAATTTAAGATAAACGATTTTTTTTACATTTATACAATTTTGTCATAAACTATTTCACGKATTGTTGATGTACTCTATGTTATACATGCTAGCATCTTGAGCCTGCTTGAATGCCGTGAAATGTTATGCTTTYAGGCGCAATAAATTCTCCAGATGATATCCCCAATTGGCGGAGGATAATATCAAAGCCGCTGACTGAATTACGTARTGAAAATATCACCATCCTGGCAGTCGCTTGCGGTTTAAAAAGCAATAACTATCCTGAGCTGAATYTGATTGGTGGAGATCGAGCAAACGTGTATAACATGACTGACATGAACCTCTTAATTGGAACGCTTATGAGAACCTCCAATTGGAATTGCCCTGGTAAGTCACGTGATTATTGTATGCTAATACGCATGTTTGTATTTCTCTATAAATTTTTCCTGAGGAAACTCAAACATCACAAAAATTACGGATTACTGTAGGAGAATCCTGAAAAAATATGGTATAATTAAAGGTTTATTCCTACTCTGACAAAACAATTTTAATGATTATGACCAAATATGGTATCCAGACTGATACTGACTGAATTTAGTCAGTACTCTTAAACCCAATCAACTTCAATAAAGGTTTGCATATAACCGAAGCTGGACCTTTATTACTCCTATAACGTGAATTTCCTRTCAACAAGGCTCAAAAATATGCTTATTAATCAAATGTATTTTAGAAAAGCCTAAACTCTGTACCAGTACTCCACCGTCTTGTCGAACGTCAACAACATGTTTATCTCAGATATCAACGTGTATTCCCGTCATACCACCGACAAAATGTACACCTATTACCACCTTGTGTCAGTCAACTGGAAAACAGATTGAAGGTACACAGACACCCACTACACTACAGACATCCAGTGTCGTACYATCATCCAATTTATCGACGACTACAACAGCAGCAATGACAGAACGTGCTCAAACACCCAGTGTTATTGCAGATAGTGTAGAKGTTATCAGCGTTCACTCAACTAGTATACAGCAGCCAGTCATCGTACACACACATACTGTACAGCCAATCATCGTAGACCAAGCCAGCAATCAGCCAATCAGCGTAGACCAAGGCAGCAARCAACCAATCAGCGTGCAGTCTACGATGKTACAGTCATCAASTGCACAGTTATCGAGCTCGGTACAGCCCACATCAACTKCTATACCATCGAATCCACAGGCTCTTGCCATTAACAAGGATGAACAAAAGATAATTACTGTAACTGAGATCAGATATGTGATTTTAACGGCGGGCTTGAACWCTAGTTCGACAAACGCGATGCAATCAACGCCATCGTTAAACAATTCATCTACTGGAAGGACTACAGAGATTACACAAACCCTAACAACGCAATTCTCAGAAACAATTCTACAGACAATTAATCAAACTATAAGCATCCAGGTCAACAGCACTACTTCAGCTGCACTGAYGATATCAACAGCTGATACAAGCAATTATTCTTCAGCTACACCAGGTAAGCAGAATGCATAAAATGAGATCATGGTTCTCGAACACCCCTCTTCCAATACGGGCAAAGGGGTCATAATGATGTTCAYGTGCGATAACCAGCGCAATATTGCCCTTGGTGACTAGCAAAAATGAATGCCGAATGTTCACACTAGCCTAGTAACCCAGACATCGTGCTCGGGTATTATCTGTACTTCCTGTGATCKTTCATCTTGTATCATAAATGATATGAGATGAACATATAAAAAACCCAAGCAATCGCCATGGAGGACGTTTGCCGATATTTTGCTATTCAGACTAAATGGTTCCAACAATTAATTTTGTTGTTCTGATTTGTCGATGTTTTTTTTGATGCTTTCATGTGTGTTTATTTTGGTTGTTCAACTTTGTTGTTGTTGTTGTTGTTGTTGTTGTTGTTGTTGTTGTTGTTGTTGTTGTTGCTGTTGTTGTTGTTGTTGTTGTTGCTGTTGTTGTTGTTGTTGTTGTTGTTGTTGTTGTTGTTGTTGTTGTTGTTGTTGTTGTTGTTGTTGTTGTTGTTGTAGTAAGTGCTGTTGATGTCTGAGTAGTGATGACTGAAAAGCGAATATAGTTGCAAAGGATGCTTTTTTCATAATTGTACATCCAAGAATATTATTGTCATGAAGAAGACAAAAAAATTAAAGCTATAATTGCAAAAAAAATGTTTATTAAACATTAAACGATGTTCTCTTGTCTTTCATTAAATAATTTCAAGCTTCTTTCGTGCTTTTTTCAGCGCCTTTTATCAAGGATAAACCAGTAAACAGGTACAGTTGAACGTACATTATCCTTTGACTACTCYCTTTATCTTCTTGAATGATTTGATTATTTGTGCTATGTTTTCTCTTGAAAGGTTCTCAGAGGAGAAGCATAAATCRCTTTCTGAGGAAAAACACAGTTCTTGGTTTGACAGTTTTGTCCCAGAGTTCGTGAGGAAATGGATGGCAATAGAACCATAGYCCTCGAAAATTTTTCGAAACTGACGATAAATACAGAAGTTGTAACATAGAAATGATTTGGATTAAATAACTTTACAAATACCGTCGAAACAAAATCTCATTTGCTATTTTTGTATAAATTGCTGTGTTCTCTAAAGCAAATTAAGTGTTTAACCTTTGACTTGTAAAGGTTGGCAAGGTTGATGTTGGAARTGATGATCAAGTTTTACTGGTAGATATTTTAAGGTTCATTAGGTTGCTTTAAAAAAAATTCGCAGAGTTTTAACTTACACCGAAAAATGATTTATAAAAAAACACMATATTTGACAAAGAGAGAATGCTTTTGATTGGATTATACTGATGGCTATTCACGTCCAATCAGACGCAGACCTACCCAGCACAGCTGCGATTCTTTTATGTTGTAACTTCATAATTATAGGGGGTCATGATCTTGAAAATAACAAATATTTCAAATATTCGCTATCCTATTAAACCATTTCAGTTAGAAAACTATATTTTAGTACACTGACTTGGGCCTTTGTTATAAACTTCGAAAATATTTTCTAAATGGTGTTAAAAGGTTTATTCTTGGGTGTTATTTTCATGTCAATATTACAAGTTTAGAAKGCTAACCTCCCTGTGCTCGCAATATAAAATTTCTCCAGTTTGTTATTGAAAATAAACGGGTGTCAAACAGGTACCTTTTAAAACATTTGATCCTTACTGTTTGAACACAAAAGAACTCAATTCAATTAAGAAAACTATTATGAAAAATATTTTTTTATGACAATTCAAGATCTTTTGCAGAGTTTTAAAAGTAATGAGACTGCTTTAATTCTAGACATAACTTATAGTTTTTTAACTTGTGGCATTTTATTTGACGTAAATAATAAAACACAATATGTCATTGTTGATAATAACCGATGATCCAAGCGGGCACAGCACAAGAGGGGTCAAGTCCGCTACATTCTAGTGGAAAAATCAAAAATACCGTGATAGTTGATCGTGTGGAATGGCTGCCATGRCAAGGGTTCTTGCCCTTTTGGCGTTTTGTATTTTTATCGGGAGTTCTTTAGGAAGAAGTTATCTCCGAAATGGTAAGAAAGCAATTATATTTTCATTATTTGTTGAAAACAGTCTGTCTTTGAAACAAGAATTATAAGAAGACAAGAACATATTTGACAACCTTTTGAAAATCTAAGTCTAGTTTGACTAGTTTAGGACAYCCTTCGCACCATAGAAGTGTATGAACCGAATACGTTTTATCTTGAACAAGTATTTTTGTATTAAAATAAAAAGACAACAACATTATTTGACAGAATAGAAACTGCACCTTACAACAATCAAGAAGCCGATTGAGTCATAGYCAATACAGCCTTAGATTAGTAGACAGAAAYGACTTCARAAGACAAAATCCACGTCAATCCTGTCACATTCTCGACAAAAATATCAACATAGCAGTCAACATATAGCGTAAACCAACGCAMCGGCGGCCATGACAGTAGGGGGATCTTTGTCAATGGWTTCGTGGTGTGTTTGCTGCAAGAGTTTTATGAATCGTGGAMTTCTAMATCTTGACATTWAATTTTTCTTGTTATTCATTTAAAAACTATCGCCACTTTTCACCAGAAAAGCGTTTTTAACTTGTGTCAAGTTGTTTTGACACTAACGTAAAATAATAACGACAGAAAAAAATGAAGGAAAGATTATCAAGAAAAAGGTGATTGCGAGATGTTGTAAAACTAGCAATAAAAACTGTTAAATCAAAAACTATATGGCAATTATAGTTCTCGTCCATTTTGACTATACATTAGCACATGGTGCTGAATACAAATTTCTTCGAGTGAGTGATCTCTTTATTTTTAGAGCGGTTTTTATGGTCGAATTTAATGGCAATATAATGATAGCCGTTACATAATTTCGTTTATACTAACATGTGACTATTTTATATTATTTTAGATAACCGAATTTTTAAGAGACAAGCAAAGGGAGGTATGTATATAGATTTTAATCGATTATACGACAAAGATTTTTCAGCCACAGATCGTCCATTTTGCACGCTTTTCGAGAAAAACCGTTTAGCTATATGATCAGTGAAGACGGTGCTGAACAACCTTGTTCTGCGCTGTACAGCGCGCTTACAGCAGATCATTGTTCATCGTTCAGGTCACCAAATAACTTCAATGTCTTCATCTTCGCAAACTCGTCTTGACTGCGCATTTTCCTGGAATGTTTATGCATGTCACCTGTCTACTGCTCATTTCACTAGTTRTTCCTGATTGATCTTTCTGATTCCAGGTCTGTGTGAAAAACCTGTCGATTTGCTGTTCGTTCTTGATAGCTCMGAAAGCGTTGGGGCTTTAAATTGGGATAAAATAATCAACTTTACAAGAAAGGTCGCGTCGAAATTCGATGTGAAGTACACGCGTTTCGGAGTGGTGCAGTATCATTCAACGCCAGAAGTACCAATCATGTTGTCATCGTTTAAAGACAATGTAACACTAGATGAYGCGATTAGTAACATTTACTTCAAGCCTGGAGCAACAAGAACTGATTTAGCGATCTCCAAAGCAATAGATGTCTTCAAGAAGGCTTCCTGTCGCCAAGCAAGTCGAGTAGCAATATTCATTATCGGTGCAAGATCCACGGATCTTTATGTCTCCAAAGGAAARAGCATCAATGCAACTGACTTGCTCAGAGGACCATCCGAGGTCCTGCAATCTCAGCACGTGTCTGTATTCACAGTAGCAGTTTCAGAGGGTTTGCCAGATACGGAGAAGCTTGCCTATAAGGATGAACTTAATATCATTGCAAGTGTCCCACCCATAGACCACATATTTGAAAGTGCTACGTTCGACGAGCTGTTGAGCACTCAAGTCGACTCGGTTGCACAAAAAACCTGCCTTGGTGAGTATAAGTTAGATCAGGTAAAAATCTTACCTACCAGATACAATTTCCTTTGAAATTCTTTCTTGTAAAACAGTTATATTTGTGTCTGTACACCAAGTGYGCGCAAGATATGAATGTCAAGCGATATAAACCACCTTTAATTCAATGATGGTATGGTTTAACTTTTGCCCGGCTTACACATAGTTACTACTAACTATCATGGCTTACACAAATGCAGTTCTGTGCAAATGTCTGTTGCAAGCGGACAATGCATACTCAGCATGCCATTATGAAATATTCGGTGCTAAAGGCCTAAAAAATAGACTACATAGCACAGGTTTTTATATGACTTTGCATATGGTGCATTGTTTCACGTTGTTGTACCGAGCGTGCGTCGTGCTGTCAAATTTTGTAACTGACACTTTGTTCACGCATGCGTAAATTACCAATAGATTATTATTGAACGTTGATATATCAATACTAAACTAAAAGCATGAATTATATTTAAAAATGGCTGAGCTGCATGTCTCTTGATTAAAGAAAAATTGAATTAAGCTTAGGTTGAACACTTATCTTTACAATTCTTTAAAGTCTTAAAAACTACAAAGCATGTGCCTTGTTGTTCATTTCAAAAAAAAAGGTATATATAAAGTAAAACATTTAATTGAGACAGGTTAATGAATTTTAAACACATCAATAGATAAATGAAGATAATTGATATTAAATTACTAATAGTTAACGGAGGCATGAGCGAGTGGTCTCATTGGTCAACGTGTAGTGTAACGTGTGGGCTTGGTACTCGTGTACGCATGCGCACKTGCAACAACCCAAAACCACAAAATGGTGGATTACCCTGCACAGAAAACACTGTGGAGTCAGGAGAGTGTAATTTGCGRCCCTGTCCAGGTACGCACTTGATAATCACTTGATTAACAATATCTTTGAAAATAAGACATATCATTTTATGTTAACCTTGATATTCAAATGAATAGTTGCCTATTGTTGTTGTGTTAATAAACTAATGAGTTTTATTCCTTTTCTATATTTCTAACCATTCTAACCACTAACTACTGATGATAATTACTATCGGTAAGTATATTAATTGATGCTGATTTAATATTTAATGAATAAATTAATAGATGAATAATCTCATTTGATAAAATAAATAATAATAATAATAATAATAATAATAATAATAATAATTTATAAAAATAACTCAGTGTTGTACCTTATGTACGATAACAAAATCCCATTCAGCAAATTCAAAGCAATGCTTCTCCGCTTTTTAACACTGTTGTCATTGAAATTGAAAAACACAGTGTTGTACATTATACATAATAAACGGAAATTCCTATAAAACTAAACAAATCCTACTCCACTTTCTGTTATTGCTGTCGTTATAATCGTTTACTTATAGAGCATTCATTACACAGGAATCCCACCACCTGTCCAACCAACTGTTGTATCGTCTGCTGGTAACAACTCCATGGTTACTTCTCCAATTCCTCAAACCAACGAAACCTCATCATTGGCCCCATCAAACGCGTCCACACCTCAACCAACGTCGTCAAATACCATAACTCCATCCAATTCGCAACAACCAATTTTACCATCGGTTACTGCACCAAATACCTGTAATCCATCCATCGCTGTATTCATTCCAAATTATAATCTAACAGACTTAGAAAATGCAGGACCAAATCCTGGACAAGGAGGATCTCCATGGCCACCGTCACCACCCCAATGTAAACCCCACCAGACTGTAACCCATGGTTACCCTGATTATTACAGTAAGTACGACAACAATTATGAATAATTGATTAAAAAAAACAATCAGAATCCTTCAATTGCAATACCTCAAAATGAGATCTCCCTCCCAATGAGCATTAAGATATCATAGTACTTAGAATATACAAGAAACAGTCAGTGAGGGCCTGGGTATCAGTTCCGGGTGTCCCTTGTGGTCATGATGATGTCCCATGAAGGTTGAATTAAATCATACTATGGAGTTATTTCGAGCGGGAAAAACAATGCATTTGTAAAATATAATTTTGTCGAATTTCTGATGCAGAGTGTGGAAATGGATTTGAAATGATCACGTTAGCCCCTCACCAACTCACCGCGTCATCAACCTACTCTAAGGACAGCGGTAATTCACTTATTAAAGCCAGGCATGCGCCATATAACGCTTTGTTGAACAACACCCAAAACGCAGGTAAGAAAACTTCCTTTCAACTTCCTTTCAACTAGCCCAAGCAATTTCGACCAGACCTAATTCATCAAACCTCGAACGTAGTGATACTGAAAAGCACAGTCTTAATGTATGCATTGATCCATCCTTAATGTATTCACGCGCACAAAGTCGATTAAGAATSGATACGCAGAAGGCAAAGTTTAAGCCTGGATTTAGTTGAGTGATTGACATTTTGCAGGTGCGTGGTGTGCCGAGCATCAGTTTGCAGTCACTCAAGACAGCACACAATTCTTGACATTAGATCTCGGTGAAGCTCAGCTTCTTGGTAAAATTGCTACTCAAGGAATGGCTCACTGGGACAACTGGGTGACCACTTTTGATCTGAAGTWYAGCAGCGATAACATTCATTGGATGAAATATGAAAGGGTAAAATTCTCTTATATTATTGCACAGTTTAAAAATCAAATTTTACTTTTTGATAGTGCAATAGAAGCTTAATATGTATAAAACGTTTTTAATATGTAGAAATGTATTTTTTATTAAAGCATTACTTCAAACTTTTTGAACAAAAAAAGTAAAAACACTACTAATGAATTGTACAATTTGGTATAAAACGACCAGTTAATTTTCAAATAGTCATGACTATGATTGTAAACATTTCGTGCTAAACACTACAGATCAGTCATAAATGTAACTAATAACACTAAAATCAATATGTACGCTTTGTTTCGACAGACACTCCAAGGAAACTGCGATCGTCAYTCTATTACTGAGAATATCCTTAACCCACCAATATGTGCGCGATTCATCAAAGTCAACCCTCTCACGTGGTACACGGCTTTTGAGCCAGAAAAGCATGATATATGCATGCGTGTTGGGATTTTCAAGTGTCGGGGTAAGAACGATAACACATTAAACTAAGAGGGGTATAGAGAAGCGGTGGAGAAGGGTCGATGAAGGGGGGATTAGAAAGGGGGTACAGAGAATTAGGGTAGGAGAAGAGTCTGTGGAAATGGAAAGATTGTGCGGGTTTGTACTTTCGTTCACTATATCCCTTCCCTCCCCTCCCTACGTAGTATGTTATTGATCCCTCCATGAATTGTTCACCAAATTATAAGTTGTGGTTTTCATTTTTAGATATTAATCAGGTTCCAGTCTCTAGATGTCGAATAAATTCACAACATGGTCACGGTATGTCTCATTGATGTCGCTGGTGTTTATAATTTCCTACTGTACTTTGTTTAGTGCTTGGTATACATGTGATATGAGATAATTCTGCGCATGCCACTTCAATATACGGCTAAATATTCTCCGCAAAGTGCAATGCAAAATGCAGATCGATCCAGTATCGGTTCGATTTGTGTTTACAATCTTCGATTTATGTCTAATACCTAACACTAACTCTTTCAGTTTCGTGAAAGCTTAACATTGCTTGCTTTGCTCGACTTTGACACTGGTCATCTTTGTTTAGATAAAAAGCATAACGAGACACGAGCACGATCTTTAGTAAATCAAGGTACAATCGTAGGTAATTATCTAGCATACTAAACCCACTAACATACTAACGTAACATACTAACATAATACATCTAAGTATCATTGGTTGTTACTGATYAATTTATTTGACAATTTTCTCATTTCAGTCAGCAACTAGAGAATTCAATACCAGTACCTCGCAACCATCGTCTACTCACGAAGAGTACTTTGTGACCTAGCCTTCAYAATGTAATTAATGTAATCTAATAACTGCGTTTGTAAAAATATTATTTGGGATTCCTGTGTCACCATCTACTTGCACAAAAKAGAACTGGTACCTGATAAGTCTTCTCATTCTCTCTCGGTACGATAACACAGGAAGCCCAAAAGRCATACGAGGAAGCTAACCATTGATGTTTATATTATTTTCATTCCCTTAAAATTTACTCTTTTTACTTTCCAATACCTTTTTTAAGATCCAGTTTACASTTACTTCTCGTCCAGATTATACTGTGTTCGCATGGGACGTCAATCTCTTTTGCGCTCAGCCMAWWWA